CCTTTATTCTTCCCTTTTACATAATCTTTCATTGATCTCATTTTATATCCCTCAATCGTAGAAATGCAGACTGTCTGACTCTCATCCGTCACGTTTCACAACTACACGACACCTTTTCCCACACCGAAGCCAACAATGTTGCTGTCGTGTACAACAGACCTTTTTTTTCTCAAGACTTTGTTCATTATTAACAAGTTTTTATAACATTAGAAGTCATGATAACTCTAATCTGCTTAATAATTTCATATGGGGATGCTTTTATTTCGAAATCTTTTTCTTAATTGTATGTTTTCACATTGTTATGAAAAACAAAAAGATGCTTTCTTTAAACAAACACATCGGTACCCGTTCCCGCTTCAGTCTGGTTAGAAATATTTAAGGCTGCAAAACCCTCGCCTACATTGTAGTGTGATTTCGCTAGTTCTGTTTCCCCAAATGCATTTCTCTCATTATGAAGTAACAGCATCTCAGGATCACCAGGATACAGAATCGGCGTTGCAAAACAGTGAAGCAAAACATTTGTCATAGGCATAGACATATAGATATCTATCGAAATACTCTCTATTTTTGGAGAAGGTGTTGATATTTTTGCCCCCTGCACATGGTATTGCGATAAAAACTGAAATCTCATTTGTTGGCGACATTAGACTAAAGCGGCAGATAATAACATTGTTGATGACTCCTCATCTCATATTGTTTTTTTTTTTGGTTCTTCCGCCTATGAAAACAAGGCTCATGTAATTTGTTAGCCTTCTCTAAGCCTTTAAAAATGATTTTATCTTTGATAAAAACGCCAAAAAGATGTGGAGTACCAAAATAAGAGATCCGAAATTTCTTATATTGCTCCCTTGTTATGAATAACCTAGCATAGCCATAGCTTCGCAATAACAAGATCCCTTTCGCATCCCCTTTACTTCCGGAAGAGCGCGGCCATCAAAGTTGCGTCATTCGACTTCAACTGCCGAGGTGATGTCACACTAGTAGTGTACCTATTTGAGCGCTAACAGTGTTTAGTTAGAGCTAAAATATATCGTAAAGGGGCAATAATTGTGTTCGAGCAAGTTGTTTGAAGCTGCGCTATTAAAAGAGGCATTTGAAGGTTGACTAATGTAATAATCTCAAATCATCAAGATGTGGAGTTAG